AAAGCAACAAGAAACAACCTTCAGAAACAGCGGTACATGTTCCATGTTCACCCAAGTTTAAGGTCTAACGCACTGGCTTTCCCAAAGCCCAACGCCCAGTCTGAGCAGCTGGGTGCGAACGCAGTGCGGCTCATGGCGCCGGAGATTTGGGGGGCCTGCGGCTTTTGTATTTGTTTCTGTGAATAATCAGCCACATGCCAGATTTGCAAGAACTGTGTTTGGTTTGGTTTGTTTGTTTGTTTGTTTGTTTGTTTGTCTGTCTGTTTGTTTGTTTGTTTTGTTTGTTTCGTTTGTTTGTTTTGTTTGTTTGTTTGTTTGTTTGTTTGTTTGTTTGTTTGTTTGTTTGTTTGTGTGTTTGTTTGTTTGTTTGCTTGTTTCTGTGTCATTTCATTGTTTTTCAAGCACGGCCATATGAATCATGTCATTTAGACTCAGATGCATGAAACATATGGGCTCAGGTTGCTAGTGTTCGGACATCCGTATGTGCCCGGGTAAGCGACAATAAAAGGAGTGACTCGGCGGGGACGCCTTCCTGGTTGCGCCACCCTACGTTTCTGATCGGATTCACAGGTTGTCCGCCGTAAAGTTTTTCCCGCGAGCTGTGAGACTCAGCGAATCGACGTAGCCAGACCTTTGGATCCGCAAGACTCAGTGTGTCTTTGCAGAGCCCTTGTAGGCTATTTTTTGCACTTGTGAGCACTCACGTTGCGTTTTTTTTGATTTAGTTTGCTGGCATCACTTTCAAATCTTAGAGCCAAGCAAAAATGATAGTGAACCCGCGCAATACCAAAAACAAGTTAATTGGAGGTCATTCGATGCGCCGTGGCTGGTCTATTGCGGCCTGGCTGCAACTCAATTGAGGCTCTTTGTCAGAATCACGCACCGTCTTCCACCAGAAGGTTGTACTGGCAGCGTGCTGTGCAGCATTCCGTGATCACTAAGACCCTCAAGCTGCTGAAGTCATCACTAGCCAATAAGCTCCATCAGGCCAAGCCGACACGAACCCCTACTCCAACTCCAACCTTTCACATCAGCGCTGGTTTGTATTCTTTACGTGTGTGTTTGCTGCGAGTTGCAAGGCGCAGCAATGGCTACATCAGTTTTGGGGGGAAACAAAAAGTGTGGGGGCTTGCTGAGGGCCTAGGCGTGCTGCAGGCTTTACCCGACATACTTACTCATTGTTGACGAGAGTTGGGCGCCCGAAGCCTTTGAAATTCATTGTGCAAGGGTTGAGGTTGTTGCTGCCGACGCCAGGCTCGCAAAAGGCGCCCAGGGGCTTGGCGCGAATTTGTTCCATGAGTAGGAGATTTACAGACATCCTTCACTGTTGCAAGATATGGTATTCCTTGTAGATGCGATCAGATCAAGCTTCAGATCTTGCTTGGCTAGCTTTCATGGATCGTTTGCGTTTCGATTTGCGTGCTAAAAGTTAATTAGCAATGATGCAGTTCGTTTTGAGATAAGAGCGAACGATGTTTGTGATAAATTGAATCGTTTTTTGGTCAAGTGTCGAAAATCGAGAGTTCCTGCAGCCGCGTGGACGAAATCCTGATCCGCAAAAGAAACCCTGACATGATGATTCAATGTAAATACCAACAAGCAATGGTTTCCCATCATCTCCAAGCGGTGCAGGTTTTGTTTCCATCCACCTTAGAATAGAAGAGGCAGAGATGCGATTCAGGATTGCGTGAAAAAGAAGAGTGGCTCACTGCAGCTGCTTCCTCTGTTTCCTGCCGCGTTCTATGCCTGTGTTCTTGCCGCAGCGTTTCCACGCAAACAACAGTTCTTGCAATAGTTCTTGCGTTCTTGCCAGCTGCAGAACAAGCCACGATGCGCTTGGCAGGGCACGGTGCAGATATGGCTGCGTGCAAGGGCGGAGCCAGAGCATGTCACAACCTTGCTCAAGGTTGGTGACGGACGCGTCAGGCAGGTGTGTGGTTCAACCTCCTTGCACTTGGGGTCGGCTTACAGACTGAACACCACGAGCTCTTTTTCCGTTTGGAAGTATGGAGAGAGAAGCTGCGCTGCTTTGGGTTGGCTGCCGGCGCAAAGCAATGCCCGGATTCGTGCGACCTTCATCCAGGAGTTGATGCCGCGCAACGCGCAGATAGCCAGCCTTTGTTCATGGTTGCAATTGCAGTTTGGAAAGGCGCTTGCCAAGTGCTAGTGAAGGTTGTGCGCCTGCCCTTAGCCTGGAGGAGTTTGCCTGTCTAATGCCCCCAAGAAGTTTTAGGGGCGGTCACCAGAAACACTGCTAGCTGGTACTTCTTGAGCACTTCTTGAGGGGGGTGTTCCTTGGAATCTTTTAAGGGCGGCATCTTTGAAATGCTTCTTCTTTCCCATTCGAACCCCGCTGCACGGGCGGAGCTCGGGCGGAGTTGACGGGCAGACTTTACGGGCGGACTTTTCGGGCGGACGTTGCGGGCGTGCAGGCTCACCTTACGCAGGCGCAGTGGCGTGGAGAGAAGTTCGATTCCTGTAGCTGTCAAAAACGGAACTTCCCAGTAGCTTAGACCCATCAGAAGCGTGGAGCACGCGTGCGTTTGGAATCCAGCACGGCGCCGCACGTCGCAGCCGCACTTCGCAGACAGAGCGTGCGTGCGAGGTTTTCAAAGAGCAGTCAGGCGCACCCGTGTGCGCGGGTTGGCGTGTTGCGCGTTCTGCCAGAGCGTGTGCTGAGTGTTAACCTCGGCTGGCCAAAAACCAGAAATAGGACTCCCGAACGCTTGCCGCATAGGAAAGGGCTGCAATAGAATTATAGCAGCCCTGAAGTTTGCAACAAGTCAAGTTTTGGCGAAACAACAGGGCTTCAAAAAGCCAGGCGCGCGCGGAGCAACACTTAGCCGAGCCCGCATCGTACGAAACTACACCTGCATGCCCCATGTGTTACACAGGTTAACACAGTAGCTGTGCAAGCAGTCTGATATTTTGTGCTTGGATTGAACACAGACCACGCTCGCAAGCTGCAAGCACGAGCGCGCGCAACACGAAATTGCACGCGCGCGCGCTGCGCCTACTTCTTGGCACGGACCCGTTGGAGCGGCGCTGGGCATCAGAATCACCTTCATGACCTTCAAGGCCCTGGACACTTGATGTCACCCGGACCCTCTTAGCCCAATTGTGTTTCAGCCCAATTGCCTCGCTTTGCGTTACCAGCTTTCCCCCGCTTATCTTTCAGGGAAGTAGGGTGCTCCGTGAACTACTCATTGCGTGCATATGATAGTTCATGTGTGTTCAGTTGCCTTGCTCTTGTTTGTCGGCTTCCCGTGCCCACCCCTAAGTCTGCAAAAGAAAGGGAAAATACGGGCGCAAACCCCTCGGAGCTAGAAAAAGTGAATAGCCGAGAGCTGTCAGAGGAGGAGCTTCGCTAGAAGGAGAAGCGGGAGACTTCGCAGATGTTGCAATGAACATGCACACGCAAAGCAAGAGGGATGGGAGGAAGCCATGAACCTGCAACCTGACCTACAAACGGGAATTGCGGGGGGAGTCGAGACAGCGAACGTGGTACGTGGAAATTTCGGGGAAGCGCGAGGATCTCCTCGAAGCCGATCAATCCAAATCAGGTCCTTAACGGCAAAGGGTCGACAGTGTCGAGAACAATCTTCGGAAAGAGGAAGCGATCATTCGGGACCGCGTGAAAGGTGCAGAAGTGCATCACGAGGATTTGGTATGAAAGAAAGATGCGGCCATAGTTTCTCGGAAGCACACGTCAAGATCTAGTCGGAGCAACTGTCTTGGGAGGATTGGAAGGCGGCTCGCAGCCAACGCTGAGCAAGAAGTTGCACAGACGAAGAGTGAGGGGAAGCCCAATGGGATGCGACCAAAGACAGGTGAACTATCGCCAGCGTTGGGCCAAGGCAAACCTTGATGGGGTCACTCACATCCAAACCGGACTTGGGTCCCATAGACCCTCAAAGAGGTCTATGTGACTGAGTAGTTCTTTGGGGTACCAAACAAAGAGAATGGGGGGGTCACCGTAAGCTCGGTCCCTAGCGTTTCCCGCTGTAAAACAACCCAACCCTTACGCGTGGCTTCCATGCACATGCTATGTGGAATCACTCACGGTCGGGAAAAACCACGCTGTAGATAACTCTTGGGCGTGAGAGTCGCCTTGTCCATCTTATGGTTCCTCTTTGGGCCAATAGTTTCTCCCTGTACGGATGTCGCAAGCCCCAGAATGTTTCCATGTTCCCAATGTGGTTTAGAGAGGCGAGAGACATGGCCCCTTCTCCTTGTGGATAGCAAAAACCACACAACGCCCGAACAAGCTTCCCGCGTGCGCATCGAAGTCGCCGCCCTCAAAGCTCGGCGACTGCGGGAGTAGCTTCTACTCAAGGGGGGAATGAGAGGATTTTTTCTTTTGCGCCCGCAGCTTAAGCCCCTCTTGAGAGCATGTGGAGAACCTACAAGCAGAAAAGGTCGTGGTGTGGGAGAACAAGGACAAACCCTATGTCAACCATGATTGTTTTTTGTTGCTTGGCTTGCTACCAGCCGTGCCATCAAGTGGGATTTTGCCCTCTAGCCCAGTCAACGGTGCAGTTCGGGGGTTGGGACCTTGTGGATGGACAAAAACAAAGTCGCTCCAGCTGGAAATCGCATAAACCACCAATTCCAACCGGTGCCGATCGGCGTAGGTTTTGCATATCCACAGTAATGGTGCTTTTTGGAATGCCGATCGCCTTTGAAGAATCCCTCGAGGAAAGGCATGTGGCTTTCGCTTGCAACTCTGCAGTAGGAACTGACATTCTCCACTGTTGGGTGGCCCCAAACTAACTCCCAGGAAACGGCAATGCACCCAATGCTGAGGGGTTACTCCTCGGACTTGGAAATCCTTCAAGCCGGAGGTTCCAAGCAAATGCCAAACCTTTCCCATGCTTAAAAGCAAGAAACAATATGTTTTTTTTCCAAACTGGCCCGAGCCTAAGGTAAGCCTTTGGTTGGATCTGTCTCCGGGTTTGGATTTGACGCCAGGAAGTTGCGGCGGTTTTTGGCGAAGCGATCGCCAGGACTTCGCTCTGCCGGACTCGGGGTCCTGGAAGCCCTTCCTGGACACCTGCACCTCCTTCAACCTCTCGGTGGTGCCCACGCCTCTTGGCGCCTGGGTGGTTTTTGTGATTTTTTGTGTTTCCGAATCTTTGGGGAAAAGGGGGGGGGCCTTGTATGGTGGACACGTGTGGGGTCTATATTTGGCAGCCATGGTCGTTTTGGGTGTTTTTTTTTGCCGAATAGACGCTGGGTGTCCATGGCGGGAAATGGGGAGGGGAGGGGAGGGAGGGCTTCCCGGCAGGCAAAATGGAACAACAGAAGTCATTTCGTATTTTTGTTGGGGTCTCCTCCCAAACCGTTTCGTTCTTGTTTAGGTAGGGTACACTAAATATGAGGCATACGATTCTTGGTGCGCTTTCAAATGTAAAGCAGTATTTGACGCACGGGAACGCGTAACCCTAAGTTACTAGCAACTCACTAGCTTCAACGCTATGGTTGCCTTACTACCTTGGTCATTTGCCAACCAAAGTATTGGCTAGTTTAACACTACTTGGTTTCATGTTGTTTCAATCGCAGCGTTTTCGGCGATGCCTTTCACTTTGGGTTGGTAGGGCCGGTTGCGTCATCAACGTGGGTGTGGCCTCCCTAATGAGAGTGGCTAGATTTTAAGGGGAACAGCTCGGGGGCCAGGATCGGGGGTTCCCTCGAACTATGCCAAGCTGGCGAAAGGGGAGGGGGGGGACGGCGGCTGCTGCGACCCAAACCGTTGAGGCCTTGTTGGCGTTGTTAACAGGTTTTCTTACCTGTTCGCAGCTCCCAAGCTGGTGAGTGTGGAGGCGAACTGGGAATTGTTGGGGTTTTAGGAAGAGGTTTTAACACCGACAAACACCTCCCAAGGGCAAGGGGAGCTTGGTCACAGGTTTCCCCGGCGATTTCGTCCCGTCCTTCTCGATATATTTTCATAGGTTATAACCTAAAGTGTTAACATCCTCTTGGATGTTTAGCAGATCATTTCCCCCTTGAAAGCTTGAGGCAGGATCTCCCCCCATCCGTGCAAATCCAACCATGCAAGCGATGCCCGCCAAAGAGAGACCAATCAACACTCAGACCCAGCTGAGAAAGGGTAGAAGCTTAGCAGCTAGATGCCGCTTGAGTAGCAGAAGGAATGGTAGCAAGTTGTATGTGAAGCTTACGGGACAGCTTCTTTTGCAAACTTAGGAACCCTATCCCTTGCCCCGCAGACCTGCCATCAGCAATTGGGGGGGGTTTCATGAATCTGGAGGAGAGGTGGACGGGTTTTCTCCCTCCTGGGCTAGAGGGTCCGGCCGGTCTTCAGGCCAGGCGGCCCAACAAGTTTGCTCCTTTGCCACTTTGGGTCGAAACGCGAAAGCGGACGGGGCGGGAACACGGCTCAATCCAAGTTTGCTTTCCCAGGCCTGGGAACCAGAGCCGAGGTTTTCCATCCAGCACTACCTCGCGGAGGGTTTAGCCGCTGGGCTGGCCTTTTTGTCGGCAAAGCTCACGGCTGACCATTGCACAGGGCTTTTCCGTGTAGTTTCCCTCGATGTTTCGCTGCTTGAGACCAATGCATGATTGCCAACGGCTGATTTTTCCTTGGGTGATGCTTAGGGAAACATAGGGAGCCCTGCAGCAGGGTCTGGAACGACGGGATAAATCTGCAAACAGGGGAAAAGAGGGTGGGTGTGCTTTTTGTTTTCTCTTTAAATGCCAACCAAAAGGGATCCCTCCTTCTGGAGCATGCTCAGGCCATACGTGGTTCGGACATTTTTCTATTGTTTCCCACAGTGGCAGCCTCCTATTCTGACCGTGGGTCATGTCGGATGTCGCGTGAAACGGCGGACCTTCGAAAGAAGCCGTGAAGAATGAGATCTCCCCGACATGGTTGTTGTTGGGAAACATTTTGCCCATTTTTGCTTCTTGCGGTTCAGAGGTTGAACTCCAACCACTCAACGGCTAATTTTTTTTTCCCATTTTTTGGCTCCCCACACCCAACGTCAGAGCCGAATTCCACACGCCCGGCTCAGTGCTCAGGGGCTTCTCTTCACCCGGCCCAGATCCATGGGGAAAGCCCCGGGCCTTCGGGGCCATGACCTCCGAGGCCGCCAGCGAGATGGAAGCGCTGATCCAAGAGCCCCTTGGAATCGGATCGATCCTTTCGCCGGAGCTCCGATTCCAGTTGCCCCGTGGCGCCCTTCTTTCTCTTTCTTCTCGCTTTTTTTTTGTTTTTCTCTCTTCTTTTTTCTCTCTTTCTCTCTTTTTTCTATTTTTCTCTCTCTCTTTTTGTTTTTGTTTTGTTTTTCTCTCTTCTTTTTTCTTCCCGGAAGGGAACCATCCCTTTGAAGTCAACTGACAAAAGAAATTATGTCACCAGAGATGCCCGTTTTTTTTCCCCATGGCCACTGGGGCATTTCAGTGCGGTCTGCTTGCAACTGGAGAAATCGCTTGCGTAAAGGGAAGCTTTTATGAGATTGGACGGGGTTCCCTATACTTCCCCATCAAAGGGTAGTTTCGATCATTACCTGTTGCCAGTTTTGGGCGAGTTGCCTCTCAGTTGGGGCTTAAAGGGAGACGTAGGGACCCCTGTGAAAACCGAACAAATTGGATGTTGGACCCTTTTGTATGCGACGTAGCATGACACTTGCAGCCTGGCAGAAGATTGCAAAGGAAGACGAGCTTATTTCGTGGGCTGTAACCTCAACCAAGATGGATATTCTTGCAACTCAACACATCCCGTGCCGAAACGGTTTCTCCCTTTCAGCCGGGTTTTGCCCCGCCGACTTGGTGGCCCCCTGGGTGAGTTCTTGAAATCCAAGCGTTCAGTCCGCCTTTACTTTGTCAATTGTGTTTTCTTGTACCATCCATAGGGTTGGTCTTGACGGCCTTCATTAGGGTGTGGGGAGGACGTGGGCATGAGGGCTCTGGGTCGATTGAGGACCAGAAGGCAGGCCTATCTTGCAAAACGTGGGCTAGAGGCTAGAGGAAGCTTTGGTCCATTGCTCAGAGAAAGGTAAGAGTTGTGCGTGTTTCATATATACGCCAAACTCAGGGCCTTGTTTTGATCTTTGTCAACTTCACCAGCTTGAAGCAAGAGTGGGGTTCACAAAAGTTTCCTTTTGGGGGGCAATTAGAGGGGAGACATTGCGTCTATGCAACTGGAACCCAAAGCACTGGGTTCAACGGAGATTTCTTGGAGCATGACTGTTTCTTGTTCCAAAGCCCCCCCCCCAAAGGCCATCCTTGAAGCGCAGAATCTCCTTTCAGGGAAAAGGACAGCTTCCATTCTTAGGTTTATTTCAGCTTCCCTCTACTTGGTTTGGATTTCCGGCTTGGAGCTTGGGGGGGTCCCTTCATCCCGGACAAGTTTCGGGGTTAACGCCTGGTCTGGAAGACCATCTGACTTTCCTTGTTTGATGCCTTCCATTTGCATGACTTGTCCATTGTCCTTTTTCAATTAGGCCACAATCACATGTTTCAGTGGTAGCACCAATCAGACAACCCTGAATTTGTGGTTTGAGCAGGTGGTTCGGGTGATTGGAACCCCCAGTCCATGGAAACCGCGTCTCATTCTCCAAGTTGGTTGAAGGGAACAACAAAGATGGTAGAGTTCCGTAATTCTCTTACCCAAGTGACTTTGGTACCACTCCCCCAGTTGGGATATCCTCCTGGGATATCCTCCTGGGATATCATGCAAGTTGAGTTCGGTTTGGGAGCGGCTTGCCCGTCGTTTCGTTGCGAGGAAGTTCGGGCCCTTCATGCGGTGCGCCGGGCCGTTGAAGCTGGAAGCTCCCTCTGTTTGGTGTGTAAAGCTTAGGCGAACCGAGGGAAGCAGCGGACCAATTTTCGGCGCCCCCTTTGGGAGTGCCCCCTTTTTGGTTGCAAGTCTCTGCTTGGTGCCCCCTTTTTGGCTCTTTGCTTTTTGGTGCTGATTTGTTTTGGTTGCAAAGCAAAAAAAACCAGCTGACCCCATCGTGCGGAACGCAGGTTTTATCAATGAGCTTTGACGCGGCGCGTTGAGACAAGCTCATTGACCGTTCGGGCGAATCCAGTGGCGATGGTCCTTTTCCGTGCCTTTCGGGAAAGGCGAGGGAACCAAAGGGAAGCCAATCTTTTTCTTGCTGATAGGCTGGGGAATGAACCTGCTTCCCATCAAGGAAACCATAGGGCATGGGGTTCAAGCATTTTTCTCGTTCGCTTCTCGAAGCAAGAAGTTTGGGACCGTCCCACTCCGAACGAAGTCTCGCAGGTACTTCGTCCAAGGCGGCGGGGCGCTGCCCTTTGGCTCCCACCCTTGCCTCTCCACCGGGGGGACGCTCCACGAAAGCGCCGGGAGGCCAAGCGCCCGGGAACAAATCCGCAGCAGGTTATTGGGGCAAATGTGGCAAAGGGCTCAAGAACTGGGTTCGACTTGAAGTTGCCGTTTGAGGGTTCGCACGATTTCTATGGCAGCAAAACCCTTGAAGCTATTTGGAGGGTTTTTGCAAACATCAGTGTAATCGACCCAGATTGCGTCCAGTTGGGTCAGTTATTGCTATAAGTAGGTGTTCGTTGAAATGAAACGAGCGTCCCTTGGGTGGTTGGTGATGTTTAAATGTGAAAATTGAAAGGACTTCTGTCGGAGGGACCCGTCCCAATGCCCTCACGGGTCTCACATGTGCCGTCAACAGACTTATATATATATATATATAATTGCTATACTTGGGGGTCGGTAGTGATGGCCATCAAACCCGTTCACAGGGGTTGTAGACCAACATGGCAAGGATTTTTTAGGTAAACCCGTGACCACGCCTAAACCCTAAACCCTAAACCCCAAACCCTAAAGCTTTAAACCCTAAACCCTGAACCCTCAATCCTAAAACTTTAAACTCTAAACCCTCTTTACCATCCAAGAGGCTTCAGGGATACAAAGATAAACCCTACGGGAAACCTTCTCCGCGGCAACCGGCGGAAGCCAACGGGGTCACGGGGTAGCGCTTCCTTCGAGGCCCTTCTTGGGGACTCTTTTGGTTGCCCTCGAAAATGTGGCTCAAAACTACACAGGATAAACCGCAGGGGGCAAACCGCAGGTTTCGGTTTCCATGTTTTTTCCACTTGCCAGGGGCAGGCCATTTTGAGGTTACCCGGGTTTTTTGAGCCGCCATGTACCTGTGTACTCCTCATTTGGTATTTTCCCCTGAGGGATATGGTCTTTTCAGGACATGGTGAACCCTTTGACCTAGGTTGGGATGTTTGGCAAGCCTCAAGGGATGCAAGGGCGGGTTTTGAAAGGGCCTGGATGGATGTTGGATGCCTTGATGCTTGTTTCGACGGCTGATTTCGCTTGCCGCCCTTTGATCTTGTTTCGGCTGGGGTTTCCAACACCGACCCGTTGACATGAGGTGAAGTTCTGGAGCGCCGGGCTGCCCGGAAGCGAAGGGGCGGCCTTCGGCCAATCGGCGTGTTGGGGCTTTCATCTCTGGGTGTCTCCATGCGAGGAGAGGCTGGTGATGTTCTTGACGAGAGACCAAGTCAAAGGGTCCTTTCTAGGAAGATGGTGAGCCAGGACTGGTTAGGTTCCGTGTTGGTGGATGGGAGAGTAAAGGCAACACTGGCGGTTGCAACTTGTGATTCCATGTGGATTATCAACAAATGGGTTACGCGCGCGGATTCGGGGGCACCAGAGAGGGTCAAGGTGTGAGCGGGAGCACTTGCCTTTTATCAGGCGGACACATGTCCCTTTCGATGATTTAGACATCATGTTCGGGGTTATTTTAGTCAGAGTTTTCGTTGGGGTGATGTTTCAAGGGCGCACGTAAGGAACCCTGGGTATGCATCTCTGGTGTGCAGCAATGCAAGAGGGCTCTTGATGGGCGAAGCATCTCGCATCCGTCTTTTGAGCCATGCTAAGAATGAGGTAACCCTTCCTTGGTTGTTTGGATCGGTTTGAGGATTTGAACCCCTCGCTTTTGAAAAGCTAGCCCTAACCTTCACGCCATCAATCCAATCATGTCCCTTTGGTTTCCCTTAAGCCATCAATTGCACGAGGTCACCATTTCAAGAATCCCCCCCCTAGCCCAACAAAACATGTCCACCATCACCTCTAGGCCACAGGATGATTGGGGAATCCCGAGCTAGCCCGGTGTACCTCGTGAGCTCCCAACGGCAGCGGGTTCCGAAGGGTTCCGACGCGTCAGCTTCCATTGGAAAGACAGGACTGGTCAAACTGGGGGGGGGGGGGAGCCTGGGGGCCCTAAAGACGGCTCGGTTTCGATGGTTCCCTTCAGCCCAAAAAGTCGAAGCCGTTGGGCCACCTCAAAACGGCTATGATTGCCCCCGGCTCGTTTGTGCCAAGGCTTTGCGCATTCGGCCTGAGACCAAGGAAAGCGATTTGTTTCTCCAGGCCCTGCCTTTGTTGGTTTTAAGAACCACAACAATAAGACTAATGATCATAATAATACCAAGAATGCTAATGATAACAAGTTTTCGGACAAAGTAGAGCCAAGGGACGTCCACGCCGTCAGGTGGGCGGGCTGCCGACCCTGGAGAACCTGGTGGGCAGCTCCCGGCTCATCACCAACGGGTGCGCCGCAGAGCCGCGTGTGCCGGTTTGGGGCCCCGCAAATGGCGTGGTTCCGTACCAACTTTTAGGGATTTGCCTGGAATGGGTTTTCCAGGGTTTCTTCAAGGGTTTTCCAGAATTGTTTGAAGTTTTTCATAAATTTTCTATGGGTTCTCCAGAGTTTTTCCAGGGTTTTCCAGATTTTTTTGAAGTTTTTCATGGGTTTTCTACAGGTTTTCTACGGGTTTTCCAGGGTTTTCTAGGGTTTGCCAGAATTTGTTTTCACGGTTTCCACAGTTCTCTTGCGGCGGTTTCCCCGGTTTCCCTGGCTTCCACAGAGTGTCGCAGGGATTTTCCATGGGTTTTTCTGGAGTTTTCACGGTTTGCATGGGTTCTCCATTGTTTTCGTGGTGTCCAAAATTTCCATAGTTTCCAGAATTTCCACTGTTTCCATGGTTTGGTTGCCAGGTGCGCTGAGAAGTGCCAGGTCTTGGATGCAGTGAGCGCGCATTCTGGCGTGCGGCCTGCCCATGGCTTGGGCAGCAAAGAGAAGGAGACGCCAGGTAGCGGCAGCATGCACACGACAAGCAAGAAAAAACACACACACACACACACACCCAAACCACAAACAGTGAAACCCCCGCTAGCAGAAACGTGTTGAGGCAAGTCCCAACCAATTCCGCTGGCCGCTCAGATCACAGTTCAATGAGACGGATGGATCTGACTTGTCTGCCCGCTGCTGATTTCTTTGGATAGAATATGACAAGCTTTGCATTCATGTGTTGCAAAATTATCGCCGTTTGAAGTCCAACATTTTGGACAGCAATCCCGTTCCGGTCCAATTGTTGGAAAATGACCGCGATGTCGGTTTATGTGCACAATTGTGTGTGTGTGTTATAAAATGAGCGCAAATCCGTGTTGTAACATTCAAACCCCTGTTGCTCGGCTCTCTGCAAGGGGACAACAAACGCACGCGCGCGCGCACGCACACCCCCACACACCCAGAGTAGAGCGCGCGAACCAATCATGTAGGGTCCCTTATTGCAGGAGATGCTCGTCTTTTTGGGTTCAACGTGTTTCATGTGGTTGTGCCTGTCTTTCGCCCCGTGGCTCGAATGGAACCTCCCGCAGACTGAGCCGGTTGTGTTCTTTTTACGGATTTGTTAGGTACAGTGCGGCAGATGACAGCTCCCTCATCGAGCGAAGATTTACCAGGACGCGGGAACGTCACCCTGAAGTATCTCTAAGACCAGCCTAAGCCCTCCCTCAACCCAGGCTAAATCCACCCGCAGTTTCGCGTGGATTTGGGGTTGGTGGGGTGGGTTGGTTTGTGGTGGGTTTAATAGCAAGGGCCTGGATGAGTCCCCCAGATGGGGCCCAAATGCGCGGCCTGGATGGCCTCAATAGTAAGGGTGTGCGGCCCAAATGCGTGTGTATTGTTTAGGTCGGTTCAAAGGAACACAGGAAACCAACCATGTTTGCAGGCCGCCCCCCCGATTTTTTTTGGCCGATACCCAAAAGGCCTGGTTGCGGTTTTCACCCCGTGGTTGGCTTCTTTGAGGGCACCACGAGCCGCGGAGCTTGGCATGCTGGTGACACGGCGCAACTTGCGGGATCGTGGTTCTACTTTCATGGGACCCCGGAGACAGATCTGCGGTTGATAGGATCTCAACCCCCCTGAGAGAGAAGAGCTTTTAACAAGGCAACTTGAGGCTGCACGTTGCGGTTGTATTAAGCGGGGGGAATGGCGATGTACGCAGTAGAGACTAGAGATGACTTTCTCTACTGTTCCATTCCAGCGCCCTTTCTGCCCGTTTTCTGCCAAGTTTGCTCCATGTTGACTTCCAAAACATTGGTTTCCTTCTTGTTTCCTTGAACACAATGCAAAAGGGCAGCCTCAAAGAAGACACATCCACATGATCCTTTTGGCAGAACCCTTCTTGATCAGTACGCTTGCCCAGATCAGTCTGAAGTTGACGTATTTGTTCAGAGTCAGTGCCCTCTTTGGTTGCTTTTCAAGGAACGCCAAAGACAAGCCAAAGCCTCTTGTGGGGTTCCATATCCCATTGAATATCTACACCCACTTAGCCATTCCGCCCGACTTTTCTGGGTTTGCTGGCACAACTCTTCTCACTTTTTGAGGTGGACCTTCTAACTTGGCCATGGGGAATAACCGATGGCTCCATATAGGGGTGGATGAGCATCCATTTGCTACCTATTTTGATGTTCACCAGTACAGGGTTTTGACCCACAGCCACTTGGGTTTAGACGTTGTTTGTTTGTTTTTGGTTTAAACAAAACAAAAAACAGTTCAGACCTTTGGGGTCCTCGATGCCGGACGTGCGTCTCTCTCTTTCGCCGGCCGTTCCCAAAGCGAGGATCGCCCTCCGCGCCGTCTACAGCTGCGTGGCCCAGATGTTGGGCGGCACCGAGGCCGAGGCGCGGCTCGATCCATCGATCGCGGTGGGGCTGAGGCTGGGGCTGAGGCGCGTTCCGAAAAGCGATGGCCGTGGGGGAGTCAAAACCGTTACACGGGATCCCATTTTGGTTGGTTTTCGGTGAATCCACCACATCCATTTTAGGACCTATTTTAGTGGTTGGATTGGTTGATGTTCACTGGGGGTACGCTTTGGGTTTTGAGCCATGGCCATTGGCGGGGAGTGGCGGCTAAGGACTGCGAAGCATACATGGTGTTTCTGTGGGATCGATAGCTGCCATCGTTGTTGCAATTGCGAGGGAGGGATGGGGGTTTCTTTGATTTGTTCTGCACAAGCCCTATTTAGCACTCAGGTTGGTGACAGTGGCTTTGACATTTTAACCCAATTGAAGCACCCACAGCTGGGGTAGAACCATGGTTACGTGCAGGAGGTTGAGTTGCCGAAAGAAGCTCAAGACACACCCAAAACAGGTGTTGGGGCTTACGTAGTTGGGGTGGAAGTCCCTGTTATGAAACTGCTGCACGCCAGTTTTTGGTTTTATTTTAAATTTCTGCAAGGTGTGCTGGACTTTGAAAGGAGGCGTGTGAGTTGAACAACAAGGGGTTCGGATGCTTTGGAGATGGGCACAAACCTGTCTTCAACCTTATGATTTGGTTCAATTTGCTGTGCGTTTTCTCTTGGAGGGGCAACATTTTCCCTATGGCTGTATTCCAGGCTCGCCAAAAAACCGGGCCATCTCCCAAATGCACGGCGCATGTTTTTCTGTGGGCATGGCAGTGGGCTACGTTTCGAATTCCAGGCGCGGGGCGCCAACAAGATCGCGCTGGCGGTGGACATGAGCTTCCCCGCGGCGACGGCGCGGGGAGTTTTCTGGGAAGGACTTGGTGGCACCGAGTGCCGAGTGGCGCTTTTGGGGAGGGGTGGCAGGTGTTGGGACCCTCCTTGTTTTTTTGTTCCCTCAATTTTTGTGTTCCTTTTGGGAGGGTGCGGGGCGGTTTGGGGGTGGGGGGGTGGGTGGGCGGTTTTGAAGGGCTGCTCAAGATGTCGGCCTTTCTCAGTCGCGGGTTTGGAATCAGAAGTCAGCGGCCTTTTTTGGGATTGGGAGAGAGGTACGAGGCGATGTGACCAAGGCCCACTCAAAGGGCATCAAATCCCCAGGTCAATTTAGCTTGTGAAGGGGGACATCCATGACAAATATTGTTTTTTTGTTTTTCTTTGAAGAATAGTCAAGCAGGTCCCAACCTGTGAGTCGAGTGTGTCGCTTCGCTGTCAGTGAATCCTTGGATTGAATGAACCAACCGGCATTTTTTGGGTTCAGCCAACGCCCGTCCCTTTTATGGCCTACTTCATCGTTGCTTCCATTTTGCCGAGGGCGATTTGAACCTTGTTGTGCTGTCCTGATTGATCATTTATTCTTTGGCGACACCAGCAACTGGAAGATGAAAGGGTCCCAGCTGAGCTGGGAAAATCCCTGTCGCAACGCGCTCGGCTTGCAAACCTGAGGGCGGTCGGCAATAATCAGAGGGCCACGTTCGGCAAAATCTTTTGCCACACCCAAACAAGTTGGCTTCCTTACGTGCAACCCTTCAGCGAGAACCCTTACATCAAAATGGGTCCCCAGAGCAACCGGGTCAGCAAAAGCCTCCAAATGACACGAAAGCTTGCCAGAGAGCAATGGGGCCACTGATTTGCCCGTTTTTCCGTTATCAATCAATTTGCAGTGCTCACCCAGCGTCCCAATAACTTTGGGGAAGGCAGGCGCCGAATGGGGACTGCAGGCTTTTCAGCCAACTTTTCGCTCCCCTTCCTCTCTCTGTCCCTTGTACTGGGCGCTCTGGCCAGTTTTTTGCTCCCCGTTTTCTCCGCTCCCCTCCCCCAGAAGGATTTTTCTTGGAAAAACTGGCAGGGTGTTTTGCTCTCCGCTGGGTGTTTGGGGGAATCTGTGGGGAGTAAGAATCCACTAGCGTTGCCAGGTGGGCACCAAAGCCTTCCTCCCCGGGCACGGGTCCCTGATTCCCGGCCGCGAACGTGGAAACGGCCTGGGGTGGGTGCAACCGTCTTCAGAAGGAAAGGAACACCCGGAGGAACGCCCGGAAGCAGTTTTTGGGGCCCAGAAAGTCGCACAAAGAAAAGGAGAGAAGGGGTTCTTCGAAGGTTGTGGCGCAAGGGAAACCAGTCGTGAGACCTCTAACCGATACTGGTTCACATCTCGAGGTAAAGACCAGGGGTCGTGAATTGATAGTCGTCCGAGCCCCGAATCCGAAAGGTTGGGGACCTCTTGTGGTGTGGAAGCCAAAAAGGAAGCTGACCATTCTACGGGGTCCATTTCCGATTTCTGAGAGCTATGTGCATGTTAGTTGGGACCAGCCCCATCCCTTGATGTATACCCTTAGGCTAACATCAAAGCCATAGGTAGCCTTATTAACTGGAAGAGAAGAACCAAAGACTCGGGAGCCAGGAAGGTAGAGAGGTCTATCCATTCTGGAGGCCCCCCCTTCTTGTCGCCAGTAGCCAGCCATGTATTCCCTTGCCGTGAAAAGGGACATGTCCAGGGCCCCAAAGGCGTGGGGATCAAGAAACTCGTTGTGATTCTTGGCCTTTTTTACTTGACCGCCGACTTGGCGCTGACCGCTTTGTTGCACCGAAAGGCCCCAAACGGGCAGAAAGTGCGAAGCCTCCCCCCACATTTTGGTCTAGGCTGGAGGATATGATGAGCTCCTTCGAGCGATCCGACTTCGAGGGGGAGTTGTTCGACATCTGGATCTTGGAGGCGCCTGAAAATGCATCGCGGTTGGGTCGCCATGGGTTTATCGCTCCGAATTCCGCCGAGGATGTGGCTTCTGGCGTTGTCTGAATTGGGGTGAAACGGGCATCTGTTCTTTTTCTCTTTTGCCTCACCAAATTGGGGGGGGGGGAGACCCTGCAAAACAGCGCGGGGACCATGAACCGCATGAATCACTTGGCTTGGCACGTGGGAATGCGCGAATGCCAACGAAAAAGCAAAATACGTAGATGAATAGAGGAAGCCCTTTGGTCCGCAATTTGCCGTGGATGTGTTTGGTTCACTCGCAAAACCTGAAGCAACCAAAACCAAACCTCAAAGCAGGGCTTTGGCTGCTGCTTCCGTGAGTGGCCAGGTTAGAGTCTCCGAACTAAAGTTATGAAGAAGTAGTCATGGTCGGATCGGTTCGAACCGCCCACTTTGGGCGCTGAAGGGGCAACCTGGGAGGAAAGAGTGGGGTAGCCCGCAAAAGGAATTCTCCACCCTTTTTTTTCAAGTGCATGTGTCGTTCTGCAACAAAACAATTAGATCTCACCTGCCCACCTTGCTGCAGCCTACCTTGAACCTCGGAAGTGGCTTTGGAATCCTCTATGCCAAGCATCTGGCAATAGGACCCTGGATTGGGTTTCAGCGGCCGAAACTCCCGCGAAGGACCAGAAAAGACAAGAAACAACTCCAAAACAAAAACACACACACACACACACAACAAACACACACACACACACAAAAACAAGAAGAGTCAAAAACAACTCAAAAACAACCAACCCGGCCTTTGCGGATCACCCACCCCCTTGACCGAACCCACCCCAAAACCCGGGGCCTGCTTGGTCGAGGTGAAGCTCCCGCCGGTGGAGAGCGCGGTGAGCGCCCGGGGCCCCAGCGCTTTTTGGGGGTCGCGTCTTTTATGACCCAGCCGAACCAAAAGGTGGTTGGGGAGTAGACGATTTTCAGCATCGCAAATTGCTGAGCTGGGTTTGGTCGTTTCTTAGGGCCACCAAAATGGTGTTGAAGATTTTCGGGCTCCCCAACAACAGCCAACAAAAGGCAGCCTCAAAGCAGGGCTTCCTTTTGGTTTCCCTTGAAAGCCAACCAAACACAGGGGGGTAGCAAGGCTCAAAAAGCCGAGAGGTTCCCAAGCCCGGTAGGCCGTGATGGATGCCTTCGAGAACCTGAACAAGACCCATGCCGTGGGGATGCCCATGGCGTCTCAGGCGTCGAGGTTCACCAAAACGGAGTCGGGGTTTGGGAGAGCCAAACATCCTCTCCGAAATCTGGGAATTAAAGAAAACATCTCCAAACTCCAGGGCCTCCGGAAACCACCTCTTGTATAAAATGCCCCCGGTGCACTGCATAAAATTTTATGAAGAGCACTGATGGACCGCACCAAATTCGCTCGGAGCCTACGGAAAGTTGGGTATACCTCAATGAGCATCAGGGGTTTGGGGAAAAGATGGGACAGCTACGCGGCGGTTCCTTTCGCATTTCTTCTCTCGGCGTCGAAAATGCCAAGCGAAAGAGGGGATACCCGATCTTGAGATTTGTAGAGAGTCACCCATCCTTTTCAGCCACTCCTCCAGATTTTTTGGGGAGGAAGCCCAAGGGAAAGGGCAGCCTCCTGTTGGGGGACATCAAAAGCAACCCATACCGTAATACCGTTTGGCACATTCTCGCACTTTGCTGGACAGCCCAGTGCGTGGTTAGCAACCCGAAACAGTGGCCTGGCACGACACGCCCCCGATATGCCTTTTTTCCCCCAAAATGTGACCTGGTGGTTTTCTGAGGGTTCAGGGGGTGGATCTTAACCCGAACCCGGGCTCCGAAGACCCAGCCTGCAATATGAGAAGTGGCCAACGCTGGGCTCTGGTTGAATCAGTTGGATCCAGGACATAGCTGAGGACAGGTTTGTTTGCTTAGACATAGATGGCGCTGGTTTAGATGCCTTTGTCTTTTTCTTCCCATTTTACCAGGGCAAGTGCTGAGAAAGGAGCATCGCCGGTGGGCTTGCCGCAATCCACTTCCCGAAGCTGTCACCAACGGGTGCCAGATCACCGCGAAGATCGGGTTGATGGGGAAGCTGTTTGACCGGGTTTCTAGCCGACCGAAGCAGGGTGGAAGCTGGCTCTTTTGACCCCAGCCGGGCGTTCCTGAGTGTCTTTTCAAAACCATTTGGTTCAAGTGGGACAGGGGACCATGGGTGACTTTCGAATTTGAGGTACCTTTTCGACGCAAAGAAGCCTTGGGGTCCAACTTGCAGGGCCTGGGTCTGTGGGTAGACCGGTTAGGCTTCAGGAGTCCCAGCCTTCGAGACCTTCATGGGGGATAGGGAAGCCCGACAGCACGTCAGCTTCCGAAGCTCAAGCCTGGCCTCAGGCCCTTGGTAGCGCGAAACCGGGCAGTGTTGGTCATCAGACGTAGATCCAGCTCGGGTTAGGGGGGGGAAAGACCCCCATGGCTGGGCTTCCAGTCCACCCTGGCTCCTGGGGTCGTCCAAACAGCCCCCAGGGCTACGTTTGTTTTTTCTTGGGGGAAAACGCTAAGATGTTTTGGTGGGAGAAAAAACACAAAAACTGGGTGGGGCGGGAGACTCGGACTCTTCGCAGCCAGGTGCGGAAGCCCCTGATCCCGCAAGTGGGCGTGGCCTCGGCGGTGCGCAGAGATCGCAAGCCCGGGGCGCTCGGTCGAGCGCAGCGCGTCGTGGGAGTCGTGGGAGGCTGAGCCATTGGACCCCGACCTGGGGATTGAGATGGCTGTGAATTTTAGTGGTTGGAACCCCCTGAAAAGTGGCTGGTGGACATAAATCCCCACATGATGTCCACCAAAGGGTCCCTGATTAAAATTCACACCCATATGGCTGTTTGTCAAGAATAGTTGGTCACCCCAAAATGGGCAAGCGCCCGGTCGGTAAATGGAAAGATGGACTGAAGCCTGTGGTCCAATTCCTGGTGGTTTAATTTTGACCCATACTCATATTCACATCTAAACAAGTAACCTGTGAACCGAAGGGTGAAGCTCCGATTGACCCAATCTAGGGATTGATGGAAGCAAGACCCAAAGGTAGACGCTTGGATGGTGACCTGTTTCAATGATCCAAGGTAGAATTCCAATGGATGATTTAAAGGTAGACGCAAGGGATGGGTTTTGGGTTAAATATAAGTCTAGAAATCAAACATGGGCCGATGGGGGGTTTTGGTTTCTTCTCCTGTTGAGGCAAAAGGGGTGTTGGCCTTTGCGGAGGAATGGTTTTTGCTTGGGTAAGGGGCACCAGGGAACCTGTTTTGAGGCTCGGTCAAGAAGAGTTTCGGCGCTTGTTTGGGCTGTTGGAGTTGTGTTCCTGCGTTTGGATGATATGTCTGCTTTACATGGAGGCCAAAGGGAAACCGAGGCATCTCTATGTGTTTGAGAGCTGCCCATTTGGAGGTTAGGGCGATACAGCTTGCCCATGTGGAAGGTTCTTCCAAGGTGAGTTGCGGGAAGGGAGCACGTTTGTAGGGACCCTGCCGTTCGAAAGTTTCGATGAGTTTGCTTGGGAGTTGATCAGCTTGGAACCGAGTTAGGCCTTGAGCCAGTAGTTCACTGGTGAAACTGACTGCTGTAGTTCACTGGCAACCTTGCTCTCATATTGTTGATGGCACCAGTTGGGATGCATGCAGCCCTATTTGGATTGGTTGATAAACCACCAACCAACTGGCAAGTGGATGTTGTCTATCGGTGTTTTCCCCCTTTCAAACGAGGGCCGGTGTTGTGACACACTCACGCCATGGAACCCAACCAGAACTGGGTGCCGCAGCTCGATCCAGCGGTCCCTCCGCCCTTGCGGGGCTCCAAAGTTGCCTTAGCGAGCTGGCTTTTCGGAAGGTCTGGCCATGAACCAAAGGCTCCGTGGTGTTTGGAGGGTACCCTTTTGTGGAAAGGGACATCAACGCTAGCCTTTTTTTGGTGCCTATGGTGATTCAGATGCCCAGGTTTCAAGAGCTATTCGCCGGATGACCTGCTTCGGGAGCCAGGAAAGATCACATTGGCATAGTTGCTCCTGCCTCCTAGGGCCAGCGGGTTTGCTGTGGTTTCCTGTGGTGTCCCCTTGGTATACGGGTTTTCTTGGGTTTCAGGACCCAATTTCGACTCCAAACGTGTCGATCCATTCCACCCTGGTAAGGAGGTGGGTGAGTCCTCCCATCGTACGGGTTGGTTGCAAAGTTTGGAACCAGAGCCTGGTAGCCCTCAAATGGGTTGTTCAAACACTCGCTCCCTCTGGGCTCGGACCCGAGCCCCCGAGCCATTCGGAGACTGGTGCGCCGAAGGCCGAACCTAGTGCCAGACCTGCAGCAGGAGGGGTTTTGAAAGGGCAAACGCTGAGTCGGTCGAAGGATCAAACGAGCGATTCCACTGAAGGTCTCCAAACTTGCGAATCCACTCTGTGCAGTGTGTGAGTCATAGCAAGTTGCTTCGAAAGATGATACGCAATTTGCCAGTACGGAGGAGAAGAGCCGGATGAACGGCGCTGAGTTTCTGATCAGGGCTCTAGAACACTACAAGGGGCCCCCGTTAATATGTGAGGGGGTGGGGTGGTTTCTTCACAGAATGGGAGAGAATCGAGAAAGCAATGAACCATAGAGTGAAAGCGTCCCACTTTTTGGTTGGCGTTCCCCAAAAAACGGAACAAACAAACTTCAGAGAACCGGCCAGTTTTCCTTGTTCCCCATTCCCACCCGTTGGCTTTGCCCCTCCCGGGTTTCCCCAAAGAAATCCGAAAATTCCTGCCCCCCTCCCCCAAAAAGCAAAAAGCACCCCCCTCCCCTCCCCCAAAAAAGAAAAATGGAAAAACGAAGAAGAACAAAAGCGACAACGCAACAAAGCAACACCCGGGAAAGGAGATGCTGCTGGTGGCCTGGAACCGCACCCAGCAGATGGCCTGCGGCTCAATGGCAGGGGCGCCTGAGCTCTTGCAGTCTAGTGGGCGGAAAGGGTCACGGACTGGGCGGCGGAATGGGTCACGGGGTGGCGGGGGTGGCGGCGGCAGAGCAAAATCCCTCCCCACGAACAGCTGGCACCTTGGGGACCTGGGACGTCCCGATCCTCGTCTAGGGGCCATGTCAGGTGCCAGGAGTGATGGTAAGGGGCTCCATGGTAAAATGGCGGGTATGATGTTTGCCAGCCAAAGTCCTTTCCTGATTCGGTCTTCAAAGAGAAACCCAAAGCAGTTGCAAGCTGCAAACAACTCCATCCCAGTTGCGAGTATGGGTAACCAGCCATTTTCCTTTTGGTTCTCAAAGGGTCCCTTGGTTACCTACTGAGGAAATGACATTTCTGGGTATACAACGAAAGATAGGGATAGTAAAACCGGGTTGGGACTGTCTCTCGAGGACGGTTCCGCACACCTTTAGTCATAATGCAGGGGCATTAAAGGGGCCACCCAAAGCCCATGGAATGAAACAAACAAACAAATGCAAAGCAACAGGGCTGAAAGCCTTCTGTAACCCCATATCATGCCTCCCCCAACCGGTTTTTTGGTGGAAAAAGCAAAGGGCTCAACATGGGCGCTTTTCCCAATTGAAGATGCCTCCAAGCCTGGGAGGGCTTCTCCTGGCCGCCACTGCAAACCTGTGCTGGGCCTATTTCGCCCAAAGACAAGCAACAACCCGATGGATCCCCGCAATTTTTGGGGCAACCCCAGTTTCTCCATGTTTTTGGCCACTGTTGATGGATCCCTTTGTTTTGGGGAGCTCCACTTTCTGATTTTTTGGCCGCTGATTTTCTCATTTTCTCACCGCCGCAGATCGTGGACGAGTTTGCGGATGACTGGACGCGCAGCGTCTCCCGCGAGTGCCAGGCGCGTTTTCGCGCTTTGCCCCTTTTGGCGTGGAAGCATCGGAAGCGCGGCCCCTCTCGGCGTTTTGGATGATCAACGGTTTTGCCGTTCTTTGTGTGGGGGGGGGGGCTGCAAAGGTTGGGGGGGGAGGGGGAGGGAGTAATTTTTTTCCCAAGTTGTGGGCTTCTGGGCAAGCCTCCCTGTCCTAGGATCCAAGACCACAGCTGAGCCACAATCAAACCCCGGGTAGATGCAGGTTAGTAAGGGGCAGTACAAGCTGGAAGTAGCCTGTTAATTTCCTTACATGGAGTTGGGTAGACCATGTTACTACAAGGTTTTGATGATGCAGCTGTTGACCAAGCACTCTGCCCCCTCCGTTCGCAGCAAACTGTGGGGATCCCCTTCGAAACCCAGGCCATGTGGCATGTATACCTTGAGAGCAACCCTAGAGCGAAGGCACCTTGTGAGTTGAACACAAGAGAGACACAAGATGGGGGTGTCGTTTTTTTGCTGGTCCTTTTTTTTAATTGTTTTTTTTTGGTTCTACTTTTGGATGGTGTTAAAGGCAAAAGTAAAGGGACACCCATCATTTTGGGGGTTTCCACACAAAGGACAACCCCATGCGTGTTCGACCCAGAGGTAAACCCCCGGGCGGAACCGCCACATCCCGGGCCTTTCAAAGGGCACCTCGCGCCGAAGCGGCCGCGCAGTCCAACGGAGACAGCGATCTCATGCAGACCTTCTGCGGAGAGTTGGGGCGCCGAGTGGCCAGCAATCGAGAGCTGAAATGCCGGTGGTGTGCATTTCTTTTGCTGGGAGACCTGATTGCTTGCAAGTTGCTCTTCCTCCTTCTCTTTCGGTCTTTCTCTTTCTGTCTTTCTCTTTTTGTTGCTTTCTCGCTTTCTCGCTTTCTCGCTTTCTCGCTTTCTCGCTTTCTCGCTTTCTCGCTTTCTCGCTTTCTCGCTTTCTCGCTTTCTCGCTTTCTCGCTTTCTCGCTTTCTCGCTTTCTCGCTTTCCCTCTCTCTCTCTCTCTCTCTCTCTCTCCCCCTTCTCTTTTTTTTTGTCCTCTCTTCTTCCTTGTTTTTTTTTTGCCCCCCCCCCCCCCCTCGTTTCTTTTTTTTTGTGTGTCTGTGTTTTTTCTTCTTCTTTTTTCTTTCTTTTTTCTTTCTCTCTCCTTCCACGAGCTTTGTGGGTCGACCCACCGAAAGTCCGATGGTCGAGGGTGGCCGTGCCAATGGGCCCTTTCGCTGAGACCATTCCGAACGATTTTTTCCGAGCTTGCTCTTAGATCGCCTCCGTGCAGCCATCGACAGCCTCCGTGCAGCCATCGCGACGGGGGCGGTTAGCGCACATGCGGAAACGCTGAATTCACTTGCTTTCTGCTCTCTTCTTATTTCCCAGTTCTCGCGTTTCCCAGCTTTTCGACGTTTGTCACGTGCATTTGCATCTAGTCTCAAGGCGCATCACGCATGCAGGACGCATTCAAGAGCTAGCTCAATGAGTGCCATGGAAGTTCCCTCTCAGTTTCCTTTGACCACTTCCAACGTTTCAGCGCGGAGCTTGCGAGGCCCTCTGGCTTGCTGAAGGAGACGGATGCCTCGGCCTCAAAGCGCCGAGTCACGGGTCTCGGGTCTCGGGTCTCGGCGGTTTCCTGAACGAGGTGGATGGACGAAACTGCGCAGTCCGCCGAGAGGTGGCTTGCCCTATTTTCCGGTGAAGAGAATCCTGCGAACCGTGGCCCTAGCGAAATGAAAGTTCATCCTGTGAGGAAAGTGCCACGAATGGCAACACCACGCACCGCGCATCACCTGGCGGTCCTTTTCTCGTTTGGATCCCGGCTCAAGATGGGGAAAGCCACTCCAAGCTGCCGGTTTTAAAGGGGCTCAGATGGGCAAAAGTTGCCCAACAATCATCTTTGACTCACTTGGTTCAACTGTTCCAGAGGATCCTGGTGCATGAGGCAATCGATCGCTTTCAAGTCTCCACTCGATCGGAAGGAAGTACTGGAATATCATGACTTGTTTGGTTAAATTTGAAGTTGTCACTCATGTTTTGGAGGTTGTTTGGGAGTGGAGTATCTCAATGTGGCTGTGGGTCAAAACCAAGGGGATCCCATTTTGGGGTACACTGGGGGTACGGGATTTTGAGGGATTTTGACCCATATGGCCATGTGGGTTGAGTTCCTTTCGGTCCCTTCGAAGTTGTCAACCAAAAGTGCCGCAGACTCGAGCACAAGTTCTTGCGCTGGGGTTCGGGGCGGGGGTGGGGGGTGGGGGGTGGGGTTGGAATAACATCTGCATCCAGGGGCTCACTTGCAACAGGGTGAACTCGTCCAGGGTTTGGTCAAGTCCTGAAGTTTTCAAGTTAATGTTGACCCCAGATTAATAAACCCCTGTTTGATTAATAGGGTGGTGGGGGATTCATCACTTTTGGGGACGACCCGTTGCAAGTGGGGGGGGGGGTCAAGGCCCGATTTGTTTTGTCCATGGTTTGCTGTTGCTTGGCTTGCGATATGGAGCGTACACCTGTTGGCCCTAGTTTCCTTGAAGGGAGAGGGAAAAAGTGGTTGGTATCCCTTTGACTTCAAATCAAAAAGGGTTCCTCCAAAAGAAGAACATAGCAAGTCAGGCAACTTATTTTTGGTGGTTTTTGGATTTGTGGTTGGGGATTTGAGGGTCTGGTTCTTGTCGAGGCTCAACGGAAACCACCCTGGAACAGCTCCAAACAACCGAGCCCAAACTACCAATTGAAGCCAAGCTGAGGACATCGAAACGGCATACCGAGCGAAACCTTTTCGTTCGCCGTGGAACCGTGCAACCAGCCCGCCCGAGATTGTGCCCGACGAGTTTTTGGGCCTGGTGTCGCACACCAACTGGCGCGCGTGCAGGGGGAGGGGCGGAATCGGGAAGGGGGAAGGGAGATGCATTTTTGCCGCACGGTACCTCCGATTCCTTTGGCATGTTGGGTTCTTGGCTTCAAACCAGCTGACTGCATGTCAGTCATTGGACCCAACTCATCTTTTTTCGACTTACCCTCCCGATAATCATGGAAGCTGACAAAGACTGCTTTCCTTTTGGGGAACCTCCCTGTCCACTTCCATGATTGTTGGGAAGGAGGGTAAAAAGCGCCCTTGGGTAGCCTCCATAGTCCCGACCAAGTTGACCAGCAACTTTTGGCTGTTTTTAAGGGTCCGAGTCTGGCTATCGACTACCGTTCATGGTTTGGGTATACGGCTGGAGAGGCCCATGGCCACAGTCAGGATACATTTGTCTGCATTGGATTTGCAAAGTAACCTTCATTTGCCATTGGTGAGTGTAGGACCTGAGAGGCCATCCGTTCGAAGACGCCGCCCTCCGATTTTCTCGATTTCCGAAAGTGATCCGGAGCCCCCTCTAAAATGGAGCATCCCCTACTGAGCAGCCTGCGCAGTTTTTCCTTTTGGAAGGAGGTTCTGCGCACTTCCATGCTGGTTGCTGGGAGGCTGCAAGTTGGGTTCAAAAGCCATTTTGGTTGGCTGACCTACAAGCTGTTGGTTAAAGCATCGCCTCTTTGGAAACGCCGACTTTGGGTGGTGAGTTCTCTTTGGGTGAGGCTTGGGGAAGAAATCATGATGACCCCAGATTGAGAACACCCTCGCCGGGCCGGATTTTTCTCCGAAATCCGGAAAGTATCAGGCTTATAAAACCCAAAATCCACACATCTATCAGAGCGCTGTTTTTGATCCCCCGCGTGAAAGACAAAAAAACACCACGCACACACGTGCACACGATACACACAATCCGAATGGCTCGGCCCTGCGAAATTCCCCCAAAACAAGTATCGAAGGAACGCGCTGAAAGCCGGCCATGGACCCGGAAGTTTTTGCCCTTTTTTCTTTGGCAGCGGCCCCTCCTGCCACGTTAAGGGTGGGGGGGGGGAGGGTTTCCACATAAAAGAGAAGCCCTGAGCCCCTAGCTGAAAACCGGAGTTTGACCCAAGTGGCTTAGTTTGATTTTGCGCCCTGCAGCGGGCCCTCAGATCACAGGTTCCTACACAGCTGCGTGCGACCGCGCTGGGACAATGCAGCGGCACGGCCGCCGAGTTTCGCGGAGGGTTGTGTGACTCAGGTGACTTTTTGTTTGTCAAGGTCCCCCAGTAGTGCCCTTTTGCCCTCTTTTGGGGGAGGGTTCCCGTACTAAAATAGACTACCGAAAAAAGGGTAGCCTTGTTCTAACCTCTCTACTGGAGGACCTAGTTGTGGTCCCCGAAAAAGAAGCAAAGAGCACTTTGATCCTGGTGGCGAAAAGGGGCCTGGCGCCCTTTGATGTGGATTGCAAAACCACCCTTTTGAGAAGCACAACCCGGACCAACTTTTGACAACCCGCACTCAAACGGCCCATCCTTGAATGGAGTGAGAAGCAATTTGGCTCTCTTTGAGCAGACAGTACCTTTTGCCGATGCTTCATTTGGATAGGACAAAGTGACCCAACCACAAGGGTGGATCGTCTCCAAATACCAGTGAACGGACAAAGTCTACTTCGCACCCTTTTTGGTGCCGAGCGGCGTGAATGTTTTGTCCACAGTAGGATTGCAAATTTTATCCCATGTTCGTAGCAGTTTGCAGGCTGTACGTAATCTTTTCTTTACATCGTCGAACTGCAAGAGGTGTCAGCTTCCGGACAAGGACATATCAGGCTCCCCCCAAAAAAGAAAGAAAGAAAGAAGAAGGCTTCTGGACATATCGCACTCCTGCAAAGGGTGGCTTTTTTGGTTGTCTTTCCGCTAAGAACCCAGAAGGGCCACGTTCTCAAAACCCGGGTAGATGAAGGTTACGGGAGAATCCCCTGGCCATAAATAGCTGATCTCCGGCCTGGTTCTTGAAGCATGGTTAAATGGATTACGACCATTTTGACTCCCATGAGCCTTAGATTGGGCACTTTTCGGCTCCCTGCCAGGTCATCCAAGCCTTCGAGCTGAGCTTCTGCCGCTGGCTGTGGGATTGGCTCACATGGCGGTCCTCACACATGGTGGGTCAAAATCCCGGTTAGCCCCCAGTGAACGTCAACCAATCCACTAAAATAGGTCCGAACATGGGTGGTGAATTCACCTACCCCAAAATAAAATGGTACCATTGGTTTGGACAAACAGCCATATTTCCCTTTTTGAGCGGTCAACGTCGTCTTTTGAGCCCCTGCAAGGTGAGTTTCGTTTGGAAGGGCTGATGCTTTCAGGGGAAGTATAGGGAGCCCCGTCCTGGACAAGCCCTTAGCAAGGCCTTGCTGCAGGGTGAATATGTAATGTGTTCATGATGGTCATGATGGTTGCACGAGCCCACCGATCGGGGGGTGAAACGAGGTGAATCATGAATGACACGAGATCACGACAGATGAGGTGGCTTTCCTCTCCCTTTCAAATTTGTCACGAAAGCTAGCTGTGCTAGCGGGAGTTCTCTAAACTTTAGCTTTGTTTACTGGCTGAGCTTCCCACGATGCCTGATTTAATCAAGGATTGGGGGGGCAGGGGCTCGATTCCCCCCTGTCCCGTCCCCAGCACGAGTGTATTCCCATAATCTCGTCCACATGTTTGCAGCTGGGGAATCTGTCTTTCTACACATTTCCAGACGTTCATGTAGGATTGCTAGTTTTAGTATCTTAGCAACTCCTGAGTCGTACATGTTGTTGTCGGGCTGGCTAGGCTTCCTTATGATTGGCTTTCCTGCAGATTGCCCCCCCCCCCCCCAAACAAGAAACAACACAACAACAAACAAACAACAGTGGGGGCGGGAGCCAGACCCCGTTGCTTTTTTTTTGGCTAAACTCAGTAAACCATAGTTGGAGGATCGGGGTCCTTTCCGTCAATAAATTTTTGCAGCCCAGTGGCCTAGTCAGCCCTCAAAAGTCTAAAACAACCCTGAAAAGCGAAAACTACCAGACACACACGCATGGGCAGCTTTGACCAAGGCACATATGGGAATGAATTTGAAGGGCACCCTTTTCCTGGGATACAAATTGTAGGGTTCCTGTGCAAGGCACAGCCTTTTGCATTCACTATGCTTCCAGAGAAGAAGGTGAACATGGGCGTGGGCGACCTTGGTTTAGTTCGAGCAGACGTATCACCTTTGGCTCCAGGGATGTGCAATGCGGCTCTCCTTCCTTTGGGCCCTATCCGCGTTGAGGCCTGCCATTCAACGCGAGGAGCAAAACTGGCACGGGAGCTTTGCAGTCGGAGGGGGGAAGCGCTGGTTGCTGGTTGCTTTGGGGGTCAATCAAGGGGTTGCCCTTTACTCTTTACCCTACCGCCGCGGGTGACTTCTGGGTGTAAAACACTGGGGCCAGAATCGGGGAATCCACTGCCCGTTGCCAGCCCTACAGAGCCCTTGCTCGGCTATCCCGGTGTCCCGGCAAACCGCAGACTTGTTGCTGCGGCTCAGTGCTTTGGGAGTTTTCGAAGATGGACCCAAAAGACGTCTTCTCCAGTTCATTGCCCCCCAAGACATCCAGCAAAGAGGTCCCACAATCTTTGGTTCGCTCTACTTGGGAGTTTCTCAACAAGTTGGTTCAAAGGGAAAGGCTGTGGTCACTGAATTATCGGTTCTTAGCGAAGATGCACTTGCCGAGTTCCTGCATTTTATGCCATTTGAGAAGCCCACTGTCGCAAACAAACAAGATGCTTGGACCCTTTTTGGCCACCGGGTCCACAGGTCCAAATGGGTTCCTTCGTACGCTGGGGGACTATGGTGTCGGACAATGACCCAAAATGGGGATTTTGTGGAAGTCATCCATGCAGTAGTCTTCTGTGTAGTGCATGCAACCCCAAAGACGCCGACGGAATGCCCTAACTGAGCAGGTCCGGAGTATTCAGTGGTTCCGCTTCAGACCTGTTTTGGGGGTGGGGGCTAGATGAGGGCTCCCGTTTTCGGGTCGAGCCACAATCACAGCCGTGAGTGAAAGTGAGAGGACAGTTCTTGTTTGCCAGGGATTCTGGGTACCTCTATATCAGGCTTTGATTTCGACTTGATTGGGCGTGACATGAAGAAGGAAAACAACCCGAATTCCAACCAAGACAAGAGCAGCCATCCAATTTCCCCATACTGGGCTAAAATCGTGATTTTCCACTCTTCTCCTCAAACCAGCCTTAGGAAGAGTACCCTCACAAACACTTCACCCGCCAATGCCCCTTTGCTCGTCTTACGCCGAAATTTCCGAGGCGGCTTTCACTTCCACTGGCCGAGCCCCCCCAGTGACGCCACGCCTCCGTGCTACTGCGCGCTGGGCTTAGAGGCTTAGAGGAGGCAGATGCTCAGCCACGGCACTTTCTGTTTCCTGAAACTCCCCCACTTTGTTATGTCCAAGTCTCCACGCGTGCTTCTATTGCATAGCCACGGCAGTCGATGATGAATGATTCTCCGGGCTGACCTGGGTGAAGATTTCTTCTTGTAGCATTCAAAGACCAGCCACACGAAGTTTAGATGTTTCTTACTCGAGTCGCCTTCAGCGTGGTGACGTCCATTTAAGCCTCAACACAATAACCACAGCAGGCACACGTCTTCCAGCGAGCTGAGGTCTTGCCGAGCCACCTCCATGCATGAGGCTTAGACCGAAGGGAAGCGCTCATTGGGCTCTCCATTTGGAAGAGCCAACGTGAGCCGACCTTTTTTGCTCATTTTTGAGGGCGGCATTATTTTCGGGGTTTACATGCGGGCATACCGGATATGGTTTTCCGTGAGTGCACCGGATGTTTAGGTCGAATGGCAGCTGACTCCTTCTGGCTTGATCCGAGCTGCCCCGAGCGACAACCACAAGCCCTGTTCAGGGACTGTTGCGTTTCATTTCATGCCGCGTTTATGGCGGAAGAATAGACTTTGCAGCTCAGAAGCTTCTTTATGGCGACGCATGGCATGGTGGCGTGGATGGTAGTGAGCTGTGTGAGAAAGGGTTTGGTGGAGATGCATTGCGAAAAGCAACAACTTTAGAGAAACCATCGATCCCCACTCTAGTATTAGCTTCATTCTTTCCAGGGATCCGTCTTGTCAATCGAACATCCAGACGGGTTTCAAACAAAACCCTAGACTGACCTCAAGCACTGCCCACCCTTGCTTTTTGGAAGACAACTGACCAAAGCAGGGCATGCTGTTCTATTCATTTCGCCTTCCCCTCGAGACTGGCTCGAGGTGTACAACGTGGAGGGCTCTCTGCCCTCCTTGCCGGACGGCCCGGTCCGATTTTCTCCAACAGGTGAGTAGCGCCCAACGGCGATTCCCATTTTAGGGCCATTTGAGTAGTTGGTGCCTGTGCTCCGATTCATGAGGGCCATAGCAAGGCCTATATAGGCATATTTATTTATTTATTTAAATGTATATATACATATATATGTATATATACATATAATTATGTATATATATATATATATATGCTCTCCCCCCGATGATCCACGCCTAGAGTGCTGGATGCACGCCCAGAGTGTTGGTTGGAAGACTTAGCACCGTGCACATCCATAGACAATAGATCTCGGCTCCTGCGATTCGAATCGCCAATCAGCTTTTCACCACCAAAACAACGGACTTCTCACCACACTCTGCTTCTGAGGGTACCTTTGGTAGAAGCATAAGTGCTGAGATTCATTGAGCAGCAACCTACCCCATAGAAAGTTCTTCATAGAATTGAAACCCAAATCATAGAAAGTTCTTTAAAAAGCTGCAACCTAAATCATAGAAACTTCTTCATAGAACTGCAACCTAAATCATAGCAATTGTTTTTTTTTCCGAATTGCAACCTGAACCATAGAAAGTTCTTCATCGAGTTGCAACCTAAATCATAGACAGTTCTGCGCAGAACTGCAACATAAATCACACAAAGCGTTTTATACAACTGCGACCTAGACATTGTTTTGTAGAATGAATTGGACGGTTGTCGGATTCCGTCTCTTCATCCAGGATGTTCTTTAGTGCTGGCTTGACCTTTGAGACAAGCCTTAGTGCTGGCGGCGGTGACTTTGGAACAAGCTTTGGATGTAGCATCGCCTTCGACGTCGGCCTTCCCATAGAAAGTGTTTTATAGAACTGCGGCCTAAATCATAGAAATTGTTTTTTCAAATAGCAATTTTTGTCATAGCCTAAAGCATAGAAAGTTTTTCATAGAGTTGCAATCGAAATCATAGAAACTGTTTTATAGAGTTGCAACCTGAATCATAGAAACGGTATCATCGCACTGCAACCTATGTCGTAGAAACTGAGTTATAGAACTGCAACCTAAGTCATAGAAAGTTCTTCATAGAACTGCAACTTGAACCATAGAAACTTCTTGACAGAATTGCAACCTCAAGCATCAAAAGGCGTCAATCATAGAAAGTGCTTCATAGAGTTGCAGCCTACACCAAAAGTTTTGTGTTACAGAATTGCAACCCAAATCATGGAGAGTTCTACATAGAACTGCAGCCTAAATCATAGAAAGTGTTTTGTAGAACTGCAACCTAAATCATAGGTATTGTTTTCGAGGTTGCAACCTAAGTCGTAGAAAGTTCTTCACAGAACGGCAACCTGAACCGTAGAAAGTGTTGTGTAGATCTGCAACCTCAATCATAGAAAGGCTTCTAACCTACATCATAGCAAGGGTTCTATAGAACTGCGACCTGAATCATAGAAATTGACGTACAGACTTGCAACGCAAATCATAGCAAGGTCTTCATAGAGTTGCGGCCCAAGTTATAGCGAAAGTTTTATTCCAGTGCTACCTAACAAGACGCCTAGACTAGCTTGGTGCTTTTTCGGGCATGTTCATGTGGGGTTTGTACGCACCGGAGCTACTATCAAAGTCGCTAGATGCAGGTAAGGGATGGCCCTGGAAGGCGAGGCGGTCGATTGGTTTTCTGTCTTTGGGTACCTCCTCCTCCCAAAACAGGTTGTTCACAACTCGCCATTGAAGTATGTTCCATGAAAAACAAGGTATTAAAACAACCACCTTGCGCCCAGAGGCAGCCGTTTTTTGGGCTCCCTCTTGTTTGGGGCTTCAAAGAGAAACCAAAAGGGAAGCCGCCATTTGTTCCATGCTGGGGCGCCCCCTAAAAACGACACGCCCAGCTGGGCACCCTGTTGGGATGGTTTTCTGCTGAAACCTGCACTTCGCACTTGCGACGCAAGGATGTTGCACAACGCGTCTGTCCGCGCACCCACTTAACACGGGGCCGGGCCGCTACCCAAGCTCAAACAGGCCCAACCGCCCACAACAGGAACCTGCTCCAGGCGCAGAGTAAACCTATCGACTGCACCCATGTTGAGACCGGGGCCCCTAAATGGGTGTGGCTCAAAAGTAAAGAGCTGGGGTTATGGGGTTACGCAGGTTTTAGTCCTGGTTTCCATGTACCAAGGGGCCATTTTGGGACATGTTTTTTGAGCCACAGCCAAATGTCAACCTTGTTTGGTGGCTCTAAACTGTAAACATCACCCCTCTGGCCCAGATCGATTGTCCCTTGGGCAGGGGTGATGTTGCAACGGAACACATATGGGTATGGGTCCAAGTTTCAACCAGGGGTCACCCATTTGTTGTCCCGCGGCCATATGAGACCTGCGGCGGTTTTTTCCCGCGAAGAAAAACCGGACTCGGCCAAGGTTCGTCTGGTTCGGCGGCCTGGCGGCCATTCTGCTGGCCTTTGGCTTGATCAAGGCAGGGTGGTGGGGGTAAGGTGTTTTTTTTTTTGTTGGGGGGGGGGTGGGTAAGGGACACCCGCACCTCTACCCTCAAACAGCCCACCAAGGAATCCCAGGGTCCCAGGGAGGGGGGGGGGGCGCATGAGTGTTTGTGTCGCTCCTATCAACGTAGGTTGGAAGACCTTAGGGCAAGTGTTTCTTTCGACAGCGAAGGAGCCCATTGAGTGCAACCACACCCGCACGCTCAGGTAGCCCAGCAGACGGCACCATCCCTATCTCATAGGGGCAAGGGGCCTCGAAACATAGAGCCTGACTCTGGAAGTCCTGAAAGACC